TGCAATGCCTGTGGAGGATGGAAGAGGCAGTCAGATCCTCTGGAACTGGAGTTTCTGACAGTTGTTAGCTGCCGTGTGGGTGCTGGGATTCGAACCCAGGTCTTCTGCAAGAACAACCCATGTTCTTAACTGCTGCTCCATCTCTCCAGCCCCCAGCTGCTAAATTTAAATGCACTAACAGATGCTGAGCTACTTTGACAAGTCACAAACCAGTGCAACAAACTCTTTTAATATTGCTAAAGAATACAGAGATAGGAATTGGAGAGATGGCTCAGCAGTTAAGGGCACTGACTGCTGTTACAGAGGACCCAGGTTCGATTCCCAGCACCCACATGGTGACTAACAACCGTCCATGACTTCAGTTCCAGGGGCGTTCAACACTATTCTGACCTCTGTGGACGTGGCACGACACGGGTTCACTTACATACGTGCAGGCAATACACGCATACGTATAAAAAGAAAAAGAAAAAAGAAAAAAATACAAAGATAGGATTTCCAGATAAAATAACAAATGCCCAGTTAAATTTGAATTTTAAATATATAACGAGTTAGCTTTTAGTTTAAATATGCTCAAAGTATTGTAAGAGGCATACACTAAGAAATTTCTCATTTTCCCATGTTTCAAATTTAACTAGGCATCTCAGGTATTGGTTATATGTACCTATGCTCTGTCAACATAAAGCATTATATATTTATTGGTTAGATGTGGTTATGCTCTATGAACATAAACGTAAAGAAGAATGAGCACAGCATCTTTCCACGTCCTCTTGGCCTAGCCACATTTCACCACTAGCATCTTTGTATATGCCACAGAAGCAGTTCTTAATAAACCTGTGCTGCGCTGCTTCTTATAAATACGTATTTATTAAATTTTACTTCTATTTATCTTCTCATATTTTACACAAATTATAACAACTTAATGCATTGCCCTACACATTTTTTTTTTTTACAAACCGACAATACTACGTGATTTTTATTTCATTTTAATTTTTGACAAGGCAATGTGGAAAGTAGGAGGTAGATGCTGAGTTCTTTGGTGTATGAGTATAATTCCTGGTAGGCTGAGCCAGAGCATTAAGAGTTTGAGGACTTGGGGCTGGAGAGATGGCTCAGTGGTTAAGAGCACTGGTTGCTCTTGCAGAGGACCTGGGTTTGATTCCTACCACCCACATGGTGGCTAACAACGGTCCGTAACTCCAGTTCCAGGTGATCCAACGCCCTCTTCTGACCTCTGCAGGCACTGCATGACACTGGTGTACTTGTATATATGCAGGCAATATACTTATATAAAATAAATATATAAAATAAAGAAAATAAATTAATTAAAAAAAAAAGAATTTGAGGACTTCATAATGAAATTGAGTTCGGCCTGGGCTACCTTAGGGAGACCCTGTCATAAAAAAAAAAATGTGGGTGATATGATAGTGTGGGCTTTGAAGGCAGGCAGAGTTGGTTTCAAGTCCAACTTCCCCTACGGGAGAGCTCTATGACCATGAGAAGACCTCACTTCATTCCTCTGCTGTCTTCTCCAGAAGAAGGGGACAGTAAATACGATGTGAGGCCGAAGGTCAGGACCCTTGCTGCTGTGCTACTATGTTTTTCCAGCAGATACTGAATCTATTGAGCCACGGCTGACATGTGTTAGGTTTCTTAGTGCCTAGTTACAGACTTTAGGATTGGTTTTAACCAAATAGTGACAGGTCTGCAAGGAGAGCACACGAGTGGTTACTGGAGGGGAGCCAGTGCGCCTGTGTCACTGGACTGGTCTCAGCTCTCACTGTGCTGGGGGATGTAGTCCTTACCCTTGAAATGGAGCAGCCGTGCTTTTGAAAATTAATACAAGGAGGCTTATTTTTTCTTAAGATCTTAGATTTTAAAAGTGATTTGTTTAAAATATATGCACATCATATAAGTGATGAATATTGTTTATCTTTCTTTGACAGACCTATCAGTGGTTTCTAAAATATGTAGTTCTGACTTGTTCAGATTGTGTAGACAGCTGGCTATGTTGAATGTGTATACTGATGTATTTCAGTTTTTTACTTCGTTTATACTGAATCTAGTTTCCTTTGTTTGTTTAACCTTGTATAGTGCAAGATCTGCTTGACAATTTTACCTCTAGAAGATGAATGAGAGACAGCATTTTGCAGTAGTTGAACTGTGCACTCTGGACCCAGACTACCTGTTCTCTAATGTTGGCTTCGTCACTGGTGTTGTGACCCTAGGCAAGTGACTTACCCTGTGTCTGCTTCTTCTTGGGTACAGTGAGTGGACTCTGACGATTACAAGACTGAACTGAACAGTGTGCTTTGAACAGCACCTGGCATCTTGAGGGTACAATTGTTGCTTCTTCCCCAGAGTTAATGCTGTTCACTTGGTTTTGAACCCACAGCCCATCTCTCCTATCCACTGCACCTCTGAGCACTGTCACTGTTCTCATGAATCCACTAGAAAAAAACGTGGCTTTCTGCTGACATGCTGTTGAGTCTCTTAGGATTTACCATGTTCAGCAGCCTACTATTGTCTCTCAGTCCTCACCCAGGTACTTGCAGTCACATGCGGCAGTGACATGAATACACCCCAGCACTTTGGAAGAAATAGACTTGATCTCTTCAGCCTAAAAGTTCTGTTCTTACAAAAGAGTTCATAACTAGAAGTGAATTTTTGGGAAAGGGATGCAGCGGATAGAAAGGAACAGCTTTGTAAACTGTCGTGGTTGTTAATATTTAAAATTCATGGAAAACTCAAGAAGCAATGTGTTTATTTTAGGGACATCAGAGCAGATAAACTGCGAAACTGCTTTTTTGTTTGCTTGTTTTACGACTCTTAAGCACACAGTAGTAACTCTACTGAAAGCTTCTGTCACTGGCAGTCGAGCTGGCTTCCTTTGAACCCTCATGATACAGGCTTCCTGGAGCGGGCATGCTCTTCTGTTTCTGTGTACCTGCTTGTAGTTGAACTTGGACTAGAGCGTTCTCACTTGGGAACTGTCTGCTCTGTTTTTCACAAAACAGCCTTTTACATTGAGAGCCTCCCATGTGCCCCGACTGCTGCCTGTCTTCCCACGTCTTCATGTGGACAGTGGATCGAGCTAAATTTTATTGTGCAAAGCAATCACTGTATAGATCATTTTCTTCCTTCGGAACTGTTTTTTAGCGTTATTTCTAAATAGACTCATATTCAGAACAGATAAGTAGTTTAACAGGGGCAATTAATTTTTGAGGGGCTCTTTCCTCTGGTTTGATCTAGCACCACAGAACTCAATCAATCATAGAGTTTATGTTTTGAAAGGGTATCTCAAAATGTGCTATTTTATGAAGGAAAAATAAATTTTCCTTGTACATAAGAATAAAAGTATTGACAGTTATTTTTAATATTTCCTTATAGTATGTGTAAGCTGAAAATTGTACAATATCCCGATTTTCACAGGAAATCCAGTGAGTATGTTTGTTTTCGGAGAGTTGAGGTTGAGAGGCTGTGCCTGTAGTTCAGATTGCTATTTAGATTTCAGTTCTAGGTCAGAGCCAAGGCCTTTTCTTGATACTGGGAAACTTTTTCTAAGAAATGCCAGTAGTTGAGCCATTGGATACTTGGAATGGAGTTGGTATTTTCAGTAGTGTGCTATAAATCAGGATACAGAACATAAGACCTGTTCTCACTACACGGAGCAAATTGCAGGTGGTGATGTTCCCTGCAACTGCCCATCTACGGCATGTGTTTCCTAGGTTCCTAAGTGCAGTTTCCTACAAAGAAGTAAAGGGAATGACTTGTTCTTTCCCAGAGAAATGGACTGTTGCATCTTCAAAATCAAGAATGAGGAAGAATTTTTTATTTCTTCTCAATTTTTAAATATATTTAGTAACATTTTTTAAGTTAGCATACAAAGTAATGGGTTTCATTATGAAATTTTCATGTATATGTGTCACGTAACGTTATTTGATTGATGACAACTTGTTTTATTAAACAAGTTGAGCAGTGACTGACTCAGTTCCCACTGACTTGGGATGTGCTGAGAGGTAGAGGAGAGGTGGCACTGTGGCGACGGCTGTGCACAATTGCTAGACAGTAGGGTGGGTGACGGCCAGCGATGTGGACACTGGCAATGTAAATCCAGTGAAAGACACTAGTTTTTAAAAAATATTTTATTTTTATTTTATGTGTATGTGTGTAGCGCCTGCATATAAGTAAGCGTACCACGGAGGTCAGAAGAGGCCGTCGGATCCCCTGGGACTGGAGTTATGGATAGTCGTTAGCTGCCATGTGGGTGCTGGGATTCGAACCCAGGTCTTCTGCAAGAACAACCAGTGTTCTTAACTGCTGAGCCATCTCTTCAGCCCTAAGACTCTAGTTTTTAAAGTGTTGTTGGAGAAACATTTCTGGGGGTTGAAGCAACTGAGAAGGCTTTTTTTTTTTTTCCCCAACAAGAAGGAAAAAGAAGATTACAGTCAGGGAATCGTTTTGAATTCCTCTGAAAAACGTAATGCGATTCTTCCTTGATTCAGTTCATAGTCTGTGATTTAATGAACTCTCCTACAGGGGTTCATTTTCTGTTTTAGTCTGTAGATTACTCTAGTCCCCATTTATTTCTAATTGATCTGTGTGCATTGTCTGTCCAGTTAGGACTGTGGGCGTCTGAGGTAAGATCACAGCCTTTTGCATTTTTGCTCACAGAATGTCTTACCCAGATCAAGCAAGCCCCCTGTTCTTTAGCTGATGATCTTTGCGTTAATTCAGGATTGCAGTGTTCTGTATTGAGAATCTCTTAAGGATATATTTTGGAAACTTCTGGCATCTTATTTAGAACAGAATTCATGCCTTTCTTCTTCTTATTGCAAATACTGTGTAAGTTCTAATGTGATCTCCATCCTGCATATAAAGAGAACTATTGAGTTAACTCAATAACATTTTAAGAAAGGAATTATAATAGTATCAAGCACTTTTAAGAGTCTTTAGTTTTAGATTAAAACCTAATGATTCCATTTCATTTATTTTCTCCCCAGAGTTCCACTTTAGTTCGTGTTTCTAATTGTTACAGAGAACACCGAGCTTTGAAAACAATGCTGGAAACCATAGGTAAGACTTACTCTTTGCTGCGTTCCTTTCTAAGACACCGAAGGGCTTCCACTGCTCTTTCAGGATATGTTCTATGTAACGTGAGTCTGTCTATAGTAACTTGGGTTTAAAACTTTCATCAGTAGCCTTGAAGGAGGGAATGCAAATCTGTATTTGTACAATTTGTACAACTTCATTTACGTGGTTGTTAAAAAAATATCCCATGTCATTGGTAATATAAATTAAACACAAGATATTCTCATCAGTTTTGAATTTTAATTATTAAAATAATACTTTCATTTATAATTTTTATTTTTATGTGTATGAGTGTATTGCCTGCATGTATTTAAGTGTACCCATGTTGTACAATGCCTGCAGAGGTAAGAAGAAGGCATTGGATCCCCTGGAACTGGAGTTACAGACAGTTGTTAGCCACCATGTGAGTGCTGGGAATCGAACCCAGTTCCTCTGCAAGAGCAACCAGTGCTCTTAACCACTGAGCCATCTCTCCAGTCCCCCTATTTTGAATTTTAATAAGCTTAATGTAAGCTCTGCTCTCCTTTTGAAGCCAATTGTGTTTTTGGATGCCTCTAGAAAGCTTAATGATATGTTAATACTGGAACAAGTTTATTACTCTACCTGTATATGTGGCGGGTAAAGTGCTGCTGAGCTCTTGATTTGACCTGACAGAACAGTAACTGTCTGTTAGACTTCATTTAAGGTAGTTTAACTTCCACGTAAGATAATTCAAGTTGAAATATCCAAATGCCCTGTGCTCTCGTGTTAATACCTTTCTTCATGGAGTTTCAGCGGCAGTTGTCTATAGAATTGTCCACAGCTGTATCAGGTAGACACCCCAGCACTGTGCCTTTCTGAGATAGTTCTGGGTGGTGAGTGCTGAAGGGCATCTGGAGTTCATTCTGGCACCTTGAGGAGTATGCCTGATGCCTTGCAGTGCAAGGTTGGGACAATATAAAGGAAGAGGGCTGTTTGGTGATGATTTGACTCTTGTTTTCAATCCTGCATAGAGAACAACATTGTATGGATGTGCATTTTCCCCCACTCATTCTACACTGAACTCATATGCCATCAAAACTACTCATCCACACGGGGAATTTCCTGACAGTAAAGGGAAGGAGAGGGAAGAACAGCTTTCCTTAAACCCTTGTTTTCTAGATATCATTCAGTTAACAGCTGCTAAGCTGCAATTCTAAGAATTGGTATGGATATCAATAACAGATTTGTGTTTTGAGTGACCCTGGAATTTATGACTTAGAACAAAATTTTCACGTGTATCTTTATCATTGCTTGTTTTAAATGTTCTACAGAAATATTGTTTATTTCTGTTGTTTGTGATACACTCACGATCACTATTAATTATCCCGTGTCTGTGTAATTCCAGATATAGTGCTATGGGCACTGTCTCTGGTGATGATTCCTTTTCTGTGATAGGCTATAAATGCACTTGTTATGATCATGAATGTGTTGTGGGATATTTAAACCATCTCCATTGAAAGAAAACAGATTTGACCTGACTTATAAGTAAGCAAAGATCGTAATTCAGGGAGATGCTGAAACTTACCAGTGGAAACATGTCTGTAAGATGCCAAGACTCTCAGAACTCATATACTCAAAATACTTTTGTAACTTTGTGCCTGACTCCAAATGTGCTCAAGATTTAAATTGGATTGGTTTGAAGCATTTATAAATACTGTTGTTTAAATTTAGGGGAAAACATTTCAAGTTTTGAAATAGTGTTTTTCAAAGATTGTATATAATACTTCCAAGTAAATTATCAATTATAGAATATTCTTTTTTTTTTTCTAAGAGTATAGCAGCTGTATTCAAAATAGCCCCTGTTCTAGTCCGCCTTCTATTGCTGTGATAAAACACTGACCAAAAGAACTTGGGAAGGAAAGGGTTTATTTTACCTTCAGCTTGCAGTTCATCATGGAGGGAAACCAGGGCAGGCGATCAAGACAGAAACCCTTAGGCGGAGACTGAAGGACACCACAGAGGAATGCTGCTTACTGGCTTGCCCCTCTGGCCTGTGCTCAGCCTGCTTTTTTTATACAAACCAGGACCATCTGCCTGGGAATGGCACCGCCCACAGTGGGCTAGGCATCACTCAACAGTCAAGAAAATGCCTCACAGACGTGCCCACAGGCCAATCAGGTAGAAAAAGTGACTCAATTCAAGTTCCCTCCTCTTAGGTGTGTCAAGCTGACTACCTAAACTATGCCGCACATGCCCCAAATGGAAATAATCAAACATCCCTCATCCATAGGAGAAGGAATTAATTTTTTTGTGGCATTTTCATGAAATGGGCTATTTCTCAGGAATAAAAAGGAAAAACTGTTGATACACTTAACAGTACAGATGAACCTCAGAGACATGCTAGGTGCATGTGCCCAGACACCAAAGAATAGATGCTGTGTAACGCCATTTATAACACTTAGGAACAGGCAAAACTAAGTGTGGCCATGGAAATGGCAGTATTTTCAGGGAGGATTGGAGTTGACTGACAGGGGCAGGAAGGAAAGGATGATTACTTTTTGATGGTTGCAAATTTGGATCCTTTATCAAAATATATGAAAATATATACAGCAGTATGTTTCACTACATATAAATCTTACCTCAATTTTGAAAAACACTGTATTTTTATAATTGTCTATGAATCTGTAGTTATCTCAAAAATGTGTTTTAAAAATACTTTATCATTTTATTTCCATTTGTTGAGATTTGTTGAGATCTACTTAATGGTCTGTCTGTACTTAAAAATAATAAATAACAGGGGGTGGAGGTATGGCTCAGCAGTTAAGAGCACTGACTGCTCTTCCAGAGGACCTGGGTTTGATTTCCAGCACCCACGTGGTGGCTGACAACCATCCATAACTCCAATTCCAGGGGATCCAACATCCTCTTCTGACCTCTATGGGCTTTCTACCTACCTGCATGCAGTCATTACACTCATACACATAAAATAAAAAAATAAAATATTTAAAAATAGTAATAAAAGTTTGGTGCATGTCTTAAAGGAATATGCAGTCATGGTGCTGGAGCGATAGCTCAGTGGCTAAAAGCATCTAGCATTTTTGCCAGGAACCCAAATTATGTTGCCAGCACACATGTGGGGCAGCTCACAACTGCCTGTAACTCCAGCTTGCCAGGATCAGACTCCCTCTTCTGGCCTCTATGGGCACTCATGTACACAGATACACACATATACATAATTTAACATAAAATATTTTAAAAAAGAGTATGTGCAACAATTATTGGGTACAGTATTACTGTGTAGGTGACTAAGGTTGAGTTTAATTACATTCATCAACTTTTTATCTTTACTCAGTTTTCTTTACTTTTTTATTGAAAATTACATATAATACATGAAATTGTTAAATTTTGAGTATTGTGATTCATCAATTCTTACCCATTATTCTCACCTACTTATTAATGACTTAATTATCCAAATTTCTTATATGTAAATAAAATTATATGTAAATTTTTAAAAAGGAAGAGACTGACTTTCAGGTCACACATCACTTGGGTTTATGCAATATTTACAAAAGACCTAAACCATCTAGCACTGGAGTTCAATTATGTATCATCTGAGTTCACTTTACAACTGTTTGCCTAATCATGTACTATACCCAGTTTCTGCCTTTAAACAAAGCCTCTAAGAGACTTCAAGGTTTCTTATGATATGATGTTACAGTCTCCCTGTATCTCCTAAAGCTAATCTGTAAATTGGATTGATTTGAAGCACACACACACACACACACACACACACACACACACACAATTCTGAGGGAAAACATATAAAGTATTAAAAAGTGCTCAGTTTGTCACTTTTATACTGAATTAAACACTTGTACTTTTTTTCTTTGTACTCAGTGAAAATGAGACAACCTTGTGCACTTAGGAGGAACTGTTTTAGGATTAAAAATGCTTTATTTATTATTTTTATTTTATGTGTCTGAGTATATTGCCTGAATGTGTGTAAGTTCACTGATATCATGCAATGTCCACAGAGGTCAGACGAGGGCGTCGGATCCCTTGAAATGTTTGTTAAATGCCATGTGGGTGCTGGGACTCAAACCCAGGTCCTCTGCAAGCCTAGCCAGTGCTCTTAACTCCTGAGCCATCTCTCCAGCCCTGTTTTAGAATTCTAAAAGCATGACATCTTTATAGATTTGACACAAGTCTTTTGAATTCTATTACTGACAATGCTATTCTCTGGAATAGACAGAAACCGGGCCCTGCAGGCAGCAGAGCGCTTGCAAGCCAAGCTAAAGGAACGTGGGGATGTAGCCAATGAAGACAACCTGAGCCTTCTGAAGTCAGTCCTTCAGAGCCCACTCTTCAGTCAGATTCTGAACCTGCAGACTTCCCTACAGCAGCTCAAAGACCAGGTAGGGTGTCATGACCCAGGTGGCCTTCACAGAGTGTCATAGACCTTGTTGAAGACTTGTGCTTTTCCAAAGGCTAGTTTTTGTGTGTGTTCATGAATAATGAAGTTATTTAAACCCCCAAACAAGACGTTCAGGCTCATTGTGGCTTTTTCCCCCTAGTTATTTTTGTAGTTGTTGCTGTGTGTTGTGGATGATGTGACATTGTGTTGAAAGCCTGTGTGGATGCTGAAGAATGAGTTCTCACAGCGGGAAGGGCTGGTAGAAGTGTCTGTGGTGGATGGCTGGGGACTTGGTTTTCCTTATCACTGAGGCTTGTCCTTCATGTGATCCTGCTCATTCAGATTGAGACATCCAGTAGAGCTACAGGATTTCAGATTAGCCTGGGTTTGGATGTTTAATCCTGTGTGAGGAAGGGAAATCACCTCTGTTTTGACAGTAGAGGGAATAATTACATTGTCATCAGTTAGAGGAATTGTAATTCTCACTTCTTAAAAGAGTGCAAGTAGCACTTCTGTGACAGCGTCAGATGGTGACAAACATTAGGATCTCTAAATGTAACACCATGGTTTTTTCCTGTAAAAATTAGGAACATTAAAAAGTTTGAACATTTATATTAAAACTAATGTATTAACAGTGACAGAATGAAAACTGAAGTCTAATGTTCTTTGAACTTACTTAATTTAATCACTATTTCTCAGGTTTAAAAAAAATATTTTAAAAACAGTTCCTACGCCTCAAAGTTTGAATTCAATCTAATTATGCCTTGAAGTTCTCATTCGTGTGTTTTCAGTGGTAATTTAATGGTTATGGATGGCTTGCTAGGGATTTTTTCTGCCTTAAAGGACTTAAAATGAAACATAAAAATGAATTTCATAATTCAGCAAAAGGACTGCTCTAGTGGAAAACTTCAAACATTATTCCAAATGCAAAGCTACAAATAGGGGGACAGAATGTGCTGGTGTCATGTAACTTTTAAAAAAAAATTTAATAACTACATGATTAGAAGCAGCATTGCACTACAGCTTTAACATATTCAGTAACACTCCAGAGCAAGAGTACATCTCTTTCACAAGTGGGTGCAAGTTTCTAGGTTCACAGTTGAATTAATACAGTTATACAATATTAAACTCAGTATAAGACATAAAATTGAATGAGTTTTTAACCTTTAAAACAGATCTCCATTTCATTTTAGAATGTATTATTCCTTGT